TTGTTGCTTGTCATGTTCACGTTGCATTTCCAACTCGCGTTGTTTGGTTTCAAGCCGTATGCGTTCCCGCTCCTGGAGTAAGGCAATCTCACGTTCTTGTTCTTCCCTTCGTATGGCAGCTGCTCGTTCTTGTTGTTCGAGGGCTTCCCTTTGCTGTTCGCGGGCTTCCTTTTGCTGCTCACGTTCAATCTTAGCCAGCTCTAGTTTAAGTTTCATCGTTGCCAAGTCAGTTTTATCTGCAATATAGTAAGTTTCATGAGTTTCAGAGTCTATCTTACCTTGCTCTAAATAGTAATCCAGCAACAGGTTGTGTAGGTCATTTTTGTTGGCTTGATAGGGAACTTCTAGTTGATACTCATGTGCAAGAGTTTGTAGTTCAGTCCTCTTGGCACGACTTAAAGTCCCTATTTCACCTGCTGGATTTGCACGGAAAGTTTGGAGACGAAACATGGTGAAATTAGCAAATAAAGGTACACGAATGTTCAATAATGAAATGTCAGAAACAGGACAACGTGGCAACTGGTACCTATCCTGTGTGATCTTTAACAATTAACGTTAAGTGAAAGATATTAAATGATTAAATTAAATCAAGGGCGCAGGAAATCTTGTACCCGGTACTCATGTAAGAGAATAAGGGCAAGAAAATCCTACTAACAAATGAAACAAAGTTTCGAAAACAAATGAAACAGTTAAATGCTTCAAAAGTAAAATTGGTAGTCCAAGGATGTAGGCATACCTTGCCAAGTCTCTATAGGACATAAAGCAAGTTTTTCCTACTGAATTTAATATGATACTTACAGAATTAGCGAACTTTTGTGCTCTGAAAAAATAAGCTAATTCCCTACCGTTGTATGTATCATCATCTCTGACTGACGTGTAGGGGTGCGAGGTGTCAACTGGTGACGAGAACTGCTGCTGAGGTCCCAATTCAGCAACTAAAGTTCGAGCTAGAGGAACTATGGCCCTCTTTGTCCTCCTACAGTCAGATTGCAGAAGATTGGGTACTCTTGACCCGGGGCAGACCACAGTACCAGGGTACCAATATGATGATCTGTCAGAATGAGAAATATTCAAGGGACATAGATGGTAAATACGAGTAATAACATGGAGGGAGAGATGACCAATTAAGAGTATGACTGAGGCCTACAGTCACCACGTAATCCAAAGTTGTCTCACCTTCACTATATGTTACTCTCGTAATGCACAATACACCGCACCTTATAAAAAATGAAATTGAATGAAAAATAGTAAAGCTACGTTAACAGAGTTAAATACGCTTACCATAAATTACCACTTGGCACCAGTACCTGAGTGAGGCTCCTAGGACAGGCCCCCATATAACTTGTGACGGTAACGCGTTGGTGTTCGGCTGTTTAAGGCTAGGGGTATGGCCTCGTCACATAGTTATAAAAAAAAAATAGAAAAACTGGAACTTCGTCTGTGGTAAGGTAAGGAGAAGACACACAAAACACAAGTAAAACTTTAACAATGAAATTTTAATTACGTTAAATAAATCAAAACATGAAAATAATGCACAAACAAATATGTATAATAAAATCAATGAATCAAAATAATAAGAATACTTAAATGACACAATGAAAAGTTACGTTAAGGCAAAATAACAAGAAGTGCAACACAAAAGTTAAGTGGGAGGTGCTGGAATATTGGCTTAAAGCCACCACCTCTCTCAGTACACGCTAACGTCTAGCTGGGAGGAGTGCTGGCTACGAAAGCACGGAACATTCTGAGGACTGATGTTGGGGCGACCCCAGACATCAGGTAGTATTGGGGGCGAGTGCAGGTGCAGCCAGACCGGCGACCAATCAGCGGAGCCGTAGCGATCAACGGGTAGTTTGGTGGTTGGAGTTCGAACAGGTGGCTGGTTGCATACGTTTCTGCTCACCCTGGCAAGCCTTGCTGGTGCTGGTGTTGTTGTCGTTGTTGGACATTTCTTCCATAGTCTTTTTATATAATTGTGAAGACGTAATTTTGGAGGGAAGAGCAGGCTCAATCTCTTGAAGGAGATTATCGTCACACATCTGTATACACAGTATACATTACTGGTGCTAGAACTGAACCCTGTGGTGCTGTGGAACCCAAGAGTAACATTCCTCCAGTCTGATACAGTGCTCTGATTACTGCCCTCATTTCATTAATGTCTGACGTCTCCATCACCCCTCCAGTATCTTGAGGTTATCTTGAGACGATTTCGGGGCTTTAGTGTCCCCGCGGCCCGGTCCTCGACCAGGCCTCCACCCCCAGGAAGCAGCCTGTGACAGCTGACTAACTCCCAGGTACCTATTTACTGCTAGGTAACAGGGGCATTCAGGGTGAAAGAAACTTTGCCCATTTGTTTCTGCCTCGTGCGGGAATTGAACCCGCGCCACAGAATTAAGAGTCCTGCGCGCTATCCACCAGGCTACGAGGTCCTTGCAGTTTCTAGAATAACCTCTTATGTGGGACTCTGTTGATAAGCTTTTTTTTAAGATCCAGATATGTACAGTCTACCCAACCATCTCTCTCCTGAAAAATCTCTGATTCTGTCATAGTATTGTTACAGTACAGTACATAATTTCTAAGGTTTTCTGCCCATTTGATTTTAATTATTATTTCTAATGTTTAGACACGATGATTATCAACAACAACGGTCTATAATTGTCTTTCCTACTACCATCTTGTAGACTGGAAATTCATTTGCCTCGTTTCATTTATCTGCTAAGACTTGTATTCACAAATACAGGTATCTGAAAAATCAATTAAAGTGGAGTGCCGAGTTCAGATGCACAGTCTTTTGAAGCCCATCTGGCCCCATAGCCTTGTTTCTACCACGCTCCTTGAGCTTGTTTTCACTTCATATTAAGACACCTCTACGTACTGTTATTCTCTGAAATCCATATTGTGTCTGGTTCCCTGATGACTTCATGTTGCGCACTCACACTGTCTGTTGCGCACTTTTTAATTTTTCATGAATCTTTTCCCCATTTTCAACCTCTGAATTTTATCCTTTACTTGCAGTTTGCATTTAATAAATTGTTAAAATAAGCTTGGTTCTGTTTTGCACTTGTTTGGAATCCTTTTCTGTTTCTTTCTGTCTCCTCTTACTGCCGTGTAGTTGTTTCTTGCTTGTTTGTATTTCTGGTTCGGTTGAAGGGTTAGACCTCTTCCTGTACTCGTTCCATTTGTTGTGTTTTGTTCTCTGGCCCTCTTCACAATTAATGTTAGTCCAATTCTGCTTTCTCTTCCGCATCATCTGTCTTGGTATAAGTTTTCATGTACACGTACTGGTCCCTTCATCATATACAGTATTGTGATATTTCTAAAATATATTATTCATTAGATTATACTGTATTCATTTGTTCGTGTTGTAGAATAAGTTAGTTATGGTGATTTGTAATCCCTCCTAATACCTTTGATTTGTGTAATTTCAGATATCATGTAGGGAACTAAGCTGATTAAAGTTGAAAACTGAATTCAAGTATACTACGTATTTACCTCCAGCTTCATATTTCTCATAAAATTTGGCATACATCATATTTATTTCTTTGCCTAATAACAAACCTTTCCAATTAAATTAAATTAAAGAACTTCTCAAGTTCCCTATATTTTCTTCTCCTGAAATCAAGTTTTTCAGTTGTTTCATTCTCCATTCTCTTCTAGATTATAACGCATTGCATATTTTAATTCCAAAAGGACATGGTGGATCTTACCTAATGGAGGAAGGTACTGAATGTCAAATATAGTATCTGTTATTCTTTCCTCATGAATATCAAATCTAGCACTGATGGAACATCTCCTTTCCTCATTCTCATATCCTGCTTAACATGTTAACTCATGAAAGTTGTGGAAAGTTATGGCTCAGTGGTTTTCTATGGTGAACACAAATGTAGATACTTATATATAATGTGTGTATTAGTGTAATAACAGCAAAAGGATTATGTTGGGAGGAGCCATTTGGGTGACGGAGGTGACGTCGTCTGCATGATTTGTCTGGCTGTGTAGAGGGTGGCCACTATGCTCTTTGGGCACCCAACAAGCTTAGGTGTAAATTTACGGTGCATACAACATGTAAATACTTATATATAATATGTGTATATAGTGTAATAACACTGCAAACAGTATTGTTGGGGGAGAAAGTTTAGTGTGTGTGACCTTGAATGAGTGAGGGAGCCGCCAGCTGACTGTGTAGCGATGACTCTTAGTGCCTGAACTAACTATATCAGCTTAGTTGTACAGTTGTGGTGAACAAAACATGTAGATACTTATATATAACATCTGTATATTGTGAATAAAATATAAAACAGGATGGTGGGAGGAGAAAGTGGGTGAGTGAGGCGTTGTTGAGGGAGTGGCAACGAGTGGTTGTCTGGTGTGTGGCGGTCACTTCTCGTTGCTTTTCGACTTGGTACCAACTTAGTGGTTCGTTATGGTGAACAAAACATGCAGATACTTATATATAACCTGTGTATAGTGTAATAACAGCAAAACTATTTGTTTATTGTTTTATGAAGATAATAATTGAATCACTAATATGCACACCATACTTTTAAGTATAGCGATGAGTCACCCCTTTTATTATGTAAATATATCACAATACACACTATTGAATAATATTACTGCAAAAAACTAAGAAAAAATCAGAGACATTGAAATAATTAAGTGATAATATCTTTGTGGCAACTCCCACCTGTCAGCTCGGGTGACGCTGACTGGGTCTGACGACCGCTCTGTCAACGCCCACTTTTTGCCAGACTTCCTCAGTCTATTGTGCCCAAAATATGTCACCTTCAATTTTTTTATATTTTTTCCATGCTCAGGGAACACAAATTAACATTTTTAGAAGACGAAATTTTTTAGAATTTTTTTTTTCTTGTGCACAGGGGGTGTAAATGTCCTCAGGACTCCCTTAGCAGTGGAAGGGTTAATGCCAGTTTTATTTTGATTATTTAATCCCAGGAAAGAACAGTTGCCAATATTTAATCTTGCATCATATTTATTTGCAGGAGTACCCTCCTTCACCCCAAACACTGGCGAAGAGCTTTAGAGCAGTGGTGGGAGCATTAAATGCTTCAGCAGGCATCAGTCGCTGCCAGCTCTTTGTTCGGGACTTTGTTGCCTCATATTTAGTAGGGAAGGATCCCAGCGACATATGGCAGGTTAGTTATTGTTTCAAATTCAAGTGGTTGGTTGTACACTTTCTCTGATAACCCTGGTGATAGTCTCAACAGTGAGACTAGCACGTCATGGCCTTCATGTTCACAGCATATTTCTCAAACTGAATAATTGGTTCAGTACACTTGTATCCCATATTATGCCACACTGCTAATTTGTTATAACACTAAATATTAAAAAAATGAAATAATCCTACTAAAATGTTGAATGTGAGAGGAGAGATAGGAATGGAGGTGAGTGGAGAGACGTGTGTAGTGTGTTGAGAGTGTTGATGGGAAGGAAGTGTTCTACAGTATGTGGTGATTGTCAGTGGAGAGGAACTGTAGTGAGGGGTGATTGTCGGTGGAGAGGAACTGTAGTGAGGGGTGATTGTCAGTGGAGAGGAACTGTAATGAGGGGTGATTGTCAGTGGAGAGGAACTGTAGTGAGGGGTGATTGTCAGTGGAGAGGAACTGTAGTGAGGGGTGATTGTCAGTGGAGAGGAACTGTAGTGAGGGGTGATTGTCAGTGGAGAGGAACTGTAGTGAGGGGTGATTATCGGTGGAGAGGAACTGTAGTGAGGGGTGATTGTCAGTGGAGAGGAACTGTAATGAGGGGTGATTGTCAGTGGAGAGGAACTGTAGTGAGGGGTGATTGTCAGTGGAGAGGAACTGTAGTGAGGGGTGATTGTCAGTGGAGAGGAACTGTAGTGAGGGGTGATTGTCAGTGGAGAGGAACTGTAGTGAGGGGTGATTGTCAGTGGAGAGGAACTGTAGTGAGGGGTGATTGTCGGTGGAGAGGAACTGTAGTGAGGGGTGATTGTCAGTGGAGAGGAACTGTAGTGAGGGGTGATTGTCAGTGGAGAGGAACTGTAGTGAGGGGCGATTGTCGGTGGAGTGGAATTGTAGTGAAGGGTGATTGTCAGTGGAGAGGAATTGTAGTGAGGGGTGATTGTCAGTAGAGAGGAACTGTAGTGAGGGGTGATTGTCAGTAGAGAGGAACTGTAGTGAGGGGTGATTGTCAGTGGAGAGGAACTGTAGTAAGGGGTGATTGTCAGTGGAGTGGAATTGTAGTGAGGAGTGAGTGTTAGTGGAGAGGAACTGTAGTAAGGGGTGATTGTCAGTGGAGTGGAATTGTAGTGAGGAGTGAGTGTTAGTGCAGAGGAACTGTAGTAAGGGGTGATTGTCAGTGGAGAGGAATTGTAGTGAGGAGTGAGTGTTAGTGGAGAGGAACTGTAGTGAGGGGTGATTGTCAGTGGAGAGGAACTGTAGTGAGGGGTGATTGTCAGTGGAGAGGAACTGTAGTAAGGGGTGATTGTCAGTGGAGAGGAATTGTAGTGAGGAGTGAGTGTTAGTGGAGAGGAGCTGTAGTGAGGGGTGATTGTCAGTGGAGAGGAACTGTAGTGAGGGGTGATTGTCAGTGGAGAGGAACTGTAGTAAGGGGTGATTGTCAGTGGAGAGGAATTGTAGTGAGGTGTGAGTGTTAGTGGAGAGGAACTGTAGTAAGGGGTGATTGTCAGTGGAGTGGAATTGTAGTGAGGAGTGAGTGTTAGTGGAGAGGAACTGTAGTAAGGGGTGATTGTCAGTGGAGAGGAATTGTAGTGAGGAGTGATTGTCAGTGGAGAGGAACTGTAGTGAGGGGTGATTGTCAGTGGAGAGGAACTGTAGTAAGGGGTGATTGTCAGTGGAGAGGAATTGTAGTGAGGAGTGAGTGTTAGTGGAGAGGAACTGTAGTAAGGGGTGATTGTCAGTGGAGTGGAATTGTAGTGAGGAGTGAGTGTTAGTGGAGAGGAACTGTAGTAAGGGGTGATTGTCAGTGGAGAGGAATTGTAGTGAGGAGTGAGTGTTAGTGGAGAGGAACTGTAGTAAGGGGTGATTGTCAGTGGAGAGGAATTGTAGTGAGGAGTGAGTGTTAGTGGAGAGGAACTGTAGTGAGGGGTGATTGTCAGTGGAGAGGAACTGTAGTAAGGGGTGATTGTCAGTGGAGAGGAATTGTAGTGAGGAGTGAGTGTTAGTGGAGAGGAACTGTAGTAAGGGGTGATTGTCAGTGGAGAGGAACTGTAGTGAGGGGTGATTGTCAGTGGAGAGGAACTGTAGTGAGGGGTGATTGTCAGTGGAGAGGAACTGTAGTAAGGGGTGATTGTCAGTGGAGAGGAATTGTAGTGAGGAGTGAGTGTTAGTGGAGAGGAACTGTAGTGAGGGGTGATTGTCAGTGGAGAGGAACTGTAGTGAGGGGTGATTGTCAGTGGAGAGGAACTGTAGTGAGGGGTGATTGTCAGTGGAGAGGAACTGTAGTGAGGGGTGATTGTCAGTGGAGAGGAACTGTAGTAAGGGGTGATTGTCAGTGGAGAGGAATTGTAGTGAGGGGTGATTGTCAGTGGAGAGGAATTGTAGTGAGGGGTGATTGTCAGTGGAGAGGAATTGTAGTGAGGAGTGAGTGTTAGTGGAGAGGAACTGTAGTAAGGGGTGATTGTCAGTGGAGTGGAATTGTAGTGAGGAGTGAGTGTTAGTGGAGAGGAACTGTAGTAAGGGGTGATTGTCAGTGGAGAGGAATTGTAGTGAGGGGTGATTGTCAGTGGAGAGGAACTGTAGTGAGGGGTGATTGTCAGTGGAGAGGAACTGTAGTAAGGGGTGATTGTCAGTGGAGAGGAATTGTAGTGAGGAGTGAGTGTTAGTGGAGAGGAACTGTAGTAAGGGGTGATTGTCAGTGGAGAGGAACTGTAGTGAGGGGTGATTGTCAGTGGAGAGGAACTGTAGTGAGGAGTGAGTGTTAGTGGAGAGGAACTGTAGTGAGGGGTGATTGTCAGTGGAGAGGAACTGTAGTGAGGGGTGATTGTCAGTGGAGAGGAACTGTAGTGAGGGGTGATTGTCAGTGGAGAGGAACTGTAGTAAGGGGTGATTGTCAGTGGAGAGGAATTGTAGTGAGGGGTGATTGTCAGTGGAGAGGAATTGTAGTGAGGTGTGATTGTCAGTGGAGAGGAATTGTAGTGAGGTGTGAGTGTTAGTGGAGAGGAACTGTAGTAAGGGGTGATTGTCAGTGGAGTGGAATTGTAGTGAGGAGTGAGTGTTAGTGGAGAGGAACTGTAGTAAGGGGTGATTGTCAGTGGAGAGGAATTGTAGTGAGGGGTGATTGTCAGTGGAGAGGAATTGTAGTGAGGAGTGAGTGTCAGTGGAGAGGAACTGTAGTAAGGGGTGATTGTCAGTGGAGAGGAATTGTAGTGAGGAGTGAGTGTTAGTGGAGAGGAACTGTAGTGAGGAGTGATTGTCAGTGGAGAGGAATTGTAGTGAGGAGTGATTGTTAGTGGAGAGGAGCTGTAGTGAGGGGTGATTGTCAGTGGAGAGGAACTGTAGTGAGGGGTGATTGTCAGTGGAGAGGAACTGTAGTGAGGGGTGATTGTCAGTGGAGAGGAACTGTAGTAAGGGGTGATTGTCAGTGGAGAGGAATTGTAGTGAGGAGTGAGTGTTAGTGGAGAGGAACTGTAGTGAGGGGTGATTGTCAGTGGAGAGGAACTGTAGTAAGGGGTGATTGTCAGTGGAGAGGAACTGTAGTGAGGGGTGATTGTCAGTGGAGAGGAACTGTAGTGAGGGGTGATTGTCAGTGGAGAGGAACTGTAGTGAGGGGTGATTGTCAGTGGAGAGGAACTGTAGTAAGGGGTGATTGTCAGTGGAGAGGAATTGTAGTGAGGGGTGATTGTCAGTGGAGAGGAATTGTAGTGAGGGGTGATTGTCAGTGGAGAGGAATTGTAGTGAGGAGTGAGTGTTAGTGGAGAGGAACTGTAGTAAGGGGTGATTGTCAGTGGAGTGGAATTGTAGTGAGGAGTGAGTGTTAGTGGAGAGGAACTGTAGTAAGGGGTGATTGTCAGTGGAGAGGAATTGTAGTGAGGGGTGATTGTCAGTGGAGAGGAATTGTAGTGAGGAGTGAGTGTCAGTGGAGAGGAACTGTAGTAAGGGGTGATTGTCAGTGGAGAGGAATTGTAGTGAGGAGTGAGTGTTAGTGGAGAGGAACTGTAGTGAGGAGTGATTGTCAGTGGAGAGGAATTGTAGTGAGGAGTGATTGTAAGTGGAGAGGAAATGTAGTGAGGGGTGATTGTCAGTGGAGAGGAACTGTAGTGAGGGGTGATTGTCAGTGGAGAGGAACTGTAGTGAGGGGTGATTGTCAGTGGAGAGGAACTGTAGTAAGGGGTGATTGTCAGTGGAGAGGAATTGTAGTGAGGAGTGAGTGTTAGTGGAGAGGAACTGTAGTGAGGTGTGATTGTCAGTGGAGAGGAACTGTAGTAAGGGGTGATTGTCAGTGGAGAGGAATTGTAGTGAGGAGTGAGTGTTAGTGGAGAGGAACTGTAGTGAGGGGTGATTGTCAGTGGAGAGGAACTGTAGTGAGGGGTGATTGTCAGTGGAGAGGAACTGTAGTGAGGGGTGATTGTCAGTGGAGAGGAACTGTAGTAAGGGGTGATTGTCAGTGGAGAGGAATTGTAGTGAGGAGTGAGTGTTAGTGGAGAGGAACTGTAGTGAGGGGTGATTGTCAGTGGAGAGGAACTGTAGTGAGGGGTGATTGTCAGTGGAGAGGAACTGTAGTGAGGGGTGATTGTCAGTGGAGAGGAACTGTAGTGAGGGGTGATTGTCAGTGGAGAGGAATTGTAGTGAGGGGTGATTGTCAGTGGAGAGGAATTGTAGTGAGGGGTGATTGTCAGTGGAGAGGAACTGTAGTGAGGGGTGATTGTCAGTGGAGAGGAATTGTAGTGAGGGGTGATTGTCAGTGGAGAGGAATTGTAGTGAGGGGTGATTGTCAGTGGAGAGGAATTGTAGTGAGGAGTGAGTGTTAGTGGAGAGGAACTGTAGTAAGGGGTGATTGTCAGTGGAGAGGAATTGTAGTGAGGAGTGAGTGTTAGTGGAGAGGAACTGTAGTAAGGGGTGATTGTCAGTGGAGAGGAATTGTAGTGAGGAGTGATTGTCAGTGGAGAGGAACTGTAGTGAGGGGTGATTGTCAGTGGAGAGGAACTGTAGTAAGGGGTGATTGTCAGTGGAGAGGAATTGTAGTGAGGAGTGAGTGTTAGTGGAGAGGAACTGTAGTGAGGGGTGATTGTCAGTGGAGAGGAACTGTAGTGAGGGGTGATTGTCAGTGGAGAGGAACTGTAGTGAGGGGTGATTGTCAGTGGAGAGGAACTGTAGTGAGGGGTGATTGTCAGTGGAGAGGAATTGTAGTGAGGGGTGATTGTCAGTGGAGAGGAATTGTAGTGAGGGGTGATTGTCAGTGGAGAGGAACTGTAGTGAGGGGTGATTGTCAGTGGAGAGGAATTGTAGTGAGGGGTGATTGTCAGTGGAGAGGAATTGTAGTGAGGGGTGATTGTCAGTGGAGAGGAATTGTAGTGAGGAGTGAGTGTTAGTGGAGAGGAACTGTAGTAAGGGGTGATTGTCAGTGGAGTGGAATTGTAGTGAGGAGTGAGTGTTAGTGGAGAGGAACTGTAGTAAGGGGTGATTGTCAGTGGAGAGGAATTGTAGTGAGGAGTGATTGTCAGTGGAGAGGAACTGTAGTGAGGGGTGATTGTCAGTGGAGAGGAACTGTAGTAAGGGGTGATTGTCAGTGGAGAGGAATTGTAGTGAGGAGTGAGTGTTAGTGGAGAGGAACTGTAGTAAGGGGTGATTGTCAGTGGAGTGGAATTGTAGTGAGGAGTGAGTGTTAGTGGAGAGGAACTGTAGTAAGGGGTGATTGTCAGTGGAGAGGAATTGTAGTGAGGAGTGAGTGTTAGTGGAGAGGAACTGTAGTAAGGGGTGATTGTCAGTGGAGAGGAATTGTAGTGAGGAGTGAGTGTTAGTGGAGAGGAACTGTAGTGAGGGGTGATTGTCAGTGGAGAGGAACTGTAGTAAGGGGTGATTGTCAGTGGAGAGGAATTGTAGTGAGGAGTGAGTGTTAGTGGAGAGGAACTGTAGTGAGGGGTGATTGTCAGTGGAGAGGAACTGTAGTGAGGGGTGATTGTCAGTGGAGAGGAACTGTAGTGAGGGGTGATTGTCAGTGGAGAGGAACTGTAGTAAGGGGTGATTGTCAGTGGAGAGGAATTGTAGTGAGGAGTGAGTGTTAGTGGAGAGGAACTGTAGTGAGGGGTGATTGTCAGTGGAGAGGAACTGTAGTGAGGGGTGATTGTCAGTGGAGAGGAACTGTAGTGAGGGGTGATTGTCAGTGGAGAGGAACTGTAGTGAGGGGTGATTGTCAGTGGAGAGGAACTGTAGTAAGGGGTGATTGTCAGTGGAGAGGAATTGTAGTGAGGGGTGATTGTCAGTGGAGAGGAATTGTAGTGAGGGGTGATTGTCAGTGGAGAGGAATTGTAGTGAGGAGTGAGTGTTAGTGGAGAGGAACTGTAGTAAGGGGTGATTGTCAGTGGAGTGGAATTGTAGTGAGGAGTGAGTGTTAGTGGAGAGGAACTGTAGTAAGGGGTGATTGTCAGTGGAGAGGAATTGTAGTGAGGGGTGATTGTCAGTGGAGAGGAACTGTAGTGAGGGGTGATTGTCAGTGGAGAGGAACTGTAGTAAGGGGTGATTGTCAGTGGAGAGGAATTGTAGTGAGGAGTGAGTGTTAGTGGAGAGGAACTGTAGTAAGGGGTGATTGTCAGTGGAGAGGAACTGTAGTGAGGGGTGATTGTCAGTGGAGAGGAACTGTAGTGAGGAGTGAGTGTTAGTGGAGAGGAACTGTAGTGAGGGGTGATTGTCAGTGGAGAGGAACTGTAGTGAGGGGTGATTGTCAGTGGAGAGGAACTGTAGTGAGGGGTGATTGTCAGTGGAGAGGAACTGTAGTAAGGGGTGATTGTCAGTGGAGAGGAATTGTAGTGAGGGGTGATTGTCAGTGGAGAGGAATTGTAGTGAGGGGTGATTGTCAGTGGAGAGGAATTGTAGTGAGGAGTGAGTGTTAGTGGAGAGGAACTGTAGTAAGGGGTGATTGTCAGTGGAGTGGAATTGTAGTGAGGAGTGAGTGTTAGTGGAGAGGAACTGTAGTGAGGAGTGATTGTCAGTGGAGAGGAACTGTAGTGAGGGGTGAGTGTTAGTGGAGAGGAGCTGTAGTGAGGAGTGAGTGTCAGTGGAGAGGAACTGTAGTAAGGGGTGATTGTCAGTGGAGAGGAATTGTAGTGAGGAGTGAGTGTTAGTGGAGAGGAACTGTAGTGAGGAGTGATTGTCAGTGGAGAGGAATTGTAGTGAGGAGTGATTGTTAGTGGAGAGGAGCTGTAGTGAGGGGTGATTGTCAGTGGAGAGGAACTGTAGTGAGGGGTGATTGTCAGTGGAGAGGAACTGTAGTGAGGGGTGATTGTCAGTGGAGAGGAACTGTAGTGAGGAGTGAGTGTTAGTGGAGAGGAGCTGTAGGGAGGTGTGTGTGTCTGTGGGGGAGAAAGTGTAGTGAGAGTTGAAGAATATAGTCTACATAATTGTTTTGTAGTGCTTTTTACACTTAAATTGTAGCTTTTTCATTATTCAAGCAGACTTGGACAGACGGCTTGAATAATGAAGTTATGAAATGAGAAGAAAGAAATTGGTGTTTGTTGTGATTTGACCAAGAATAATAAAATTATGTAAAACTGCATGTAAATTTTAGTTATTCCAAAAAATCTTTACCCACGTGAAGATAAGTTCTTTGTATCTAAAGCGTTTTCATCTGTTAATTAGTTGGATTAATTACATTCATTGTAGATACAATTGAGTAGCTCATCATTTTTTTATCGTACCATACATAGGAAGCTTTGTCTACTTATTTTGATAAAGCATAATTCTCAGCTATTTCTATTTCAGATTGAAAGCCCAATGGAACTTCTCAAAGATATTCTTGTTCGCAGTGGTTATGGGGAGCCTGAACCAAGACTAATGTTTAAAACTGGAAAGAACACAATCCAAGCCGTATATCAAGTTGGAGTATATTCTGACAAGAAGCTTATGGGCTCAGGTAAGAATTGCTCGCGCTTTCTAACTGTACTTTCTGGGGGTAGCCCTTTGTGACTCTGTTAAGCTGAGGATGGTTACCATCTACTAGGTCCCATCAGCCATGGAGTTCTATAGGCCTACCAGGGACTGGAGCTAGAACCCTTTTATCTTGTGCCTCCTTCAGAGGCACAGGGACTAGTGATATTTGTATTTCCCACCTCACCAGGAAAGTCAACCAGAAAGTCATTGAGCCAAAAGAAAGTACAGTACAACGTCAATTCAACTTACCCCGACTCGTCACATCTATGGCTAGGTTGCACACTTTTCAGGCCAGATTTACTCACCCAGTTCGGCATACTCTGGTTCGTCGAAGCGGGGAATGTGCGGATTTGGTTACGATGTTGGGACAAAATTCACAAAGTGGTGGAAAACTTTCCCATTCTATCACAGTTTACAATTAATAATGCCTTCATATGACAAGTTGGATCACACAAGTGAACCATATAACAAATGGTTGCAAATTTTATGCAAAAGGCATATGCAGACATACATATGTATGTATGTATGTATATATATATATATATATATATATATATATATATATATATATATATATATATATATATATATATATATATAATATATAATATATAATATATAATATAATATAATATAATATATAATATAATATAATATATTGGTGTATACTGGCAGCAGGTTTTCTTTCAAACATGTTTCATTGAATATGACCGCATATTCTGTATTTATTATTTTCTGGTTTAGGGCTTCTATCCCTCTAACTATTTTCTTAGCATCAGGGCTTAGTTGAAATAGGAGTTCTCCAAAACTCATTTTCATACTTTTAAGGTGAAGAAAAGAAGTGATTTACTATAGTGTATTACACTTATTCATACAATTTGCAAAACGTTTCGAACCTCCATGGTTCATTCTCAAGTGAACAGATCTTACAATGCTGGTTGATTTTATACCCGCACTGGGTCAGGTGATAATACAATAAAGGTGAAAACATGGGGGGATACATAAGGGATAAATGTGGGGTGAAACATAAAGGTAACTGCAGAAGGCTTATTGGCCCATACGAGGCAGCTCCTATCTAAATACAAAGATTAATCCAGTGTAATTGGCCTGTTATGTTGGACATTGTCTTCTGTGTTGGCATCGTTATGTTCTGGTCTTGTCCTTACTCTCATGGTGGGTAGAGTAAATAGTTCCGTGATTTGGGTGTTCATGGTAGGTTGCAATTCACATAAGAATAGAACAATAATCGATAACACTAACTAACATTTAATCCAGTCCATCCGGTGGTCATCGAGATTCAACATTTACTGTTTCTTATCTCCAGTAAATTTAAATCCGTAGAGTTTTGCTGGGTTCCCAGCCATATTGGTATTTCTTTCAATGAGCGTGCGGATGCTGCCGCTAGGGAAGCTATCCGCTCTTGTCCCACCTCTTGTAAAGGTATTCCTTATTCCGACTTTTTACCTGGTTATTCATTCCTCCATCCTTGCCTGTTGGCAGGGTTGTTGGTCTTTTGTTGTTGGTAACAATCTGCGTACTTTTAAGTGTAGTGTGTCCTCGATGCCTTCCTCCTACCACCGTAACCGGCGGTGGGAAAGGGCTCTAGCAAGGTTGTGTCTTGGTCATACATGTTTAACTCACGGTCATTTAATGGAGCGCCACCCTGCTCCGTATTGTCCAAATTGCATTGTCCCTCTTACAGTCGTACATATCTTTGTTGAATGTCCTGACTTCCAGGACGAGCGTGTCTTATTTTCTGATCATCTCTCGCTGTCACTTGTCCCTCGATAGAATTCTTGGTAAATCAGAGGCTTTTGATATCGTTCGTCTTATACATTTCTGTTCTCGTATTGGCATCCTTGGTGATATTTAGCGCCCTCTGATTATACCGCACATTTGATGGTGCTACATGGCCTTTTCGGTTTGGTACCTTCTTTTGATACTTACTTTTCAGCCACATTATTGTGACTCCTCATCTGACTATATAGGAAGCCTGTGCTGTTATAATACAGTATTATAGCCAAGTGTCGCTGTAGTAAAGAGAAGCTCAAAAGATGACACTGTGAAAAGAAACTGTAATGAGTCTGGTTTTCTTGTAATACGGTAGTTTTCTCATGGCCAACCTTGACCGTGTGATCTACAACCTAAAGTTTTAATGATTACTTGCATATTTAATAGATTTTAATGTGACCTTATTTTTTCAGGTTATGGTGAAACTGTAGATACGGCTGTGGAACAAGCAGCTCATGATGCAGTCAAGAAACTTTTCCATATAGCAGAAGCTAGTAATCCTCTGCCATTTGGGAAAGACGCTGATAAAATTGTTCTTGCTGACCAAGAAAATACACCATTAAGTGAATGGTCTATTAATAAATTACACAATATTGTAAACTGTTAGTGTTAAATAATTTAAAATTGGCATTCTTGCCTCACTTTTAATAAATATCCCACAACAGACTAAGCAGCATTAAGGTCAGGTGATGTGACTGATGATTTTGCATAAAGCAATAAGTATCCGTTTGCAGCATCGAAGATATTGTGCCGGAGTTTTATATCTGCCAGGCAGCGTGGACACTAGTGTGACTGTTGTCACACTGGGGCATCCAGGGCATTCAGTGATGAATGCATTCCGTTTGCATTCAGGCCAACTGTGATAGAAGATTGGACTCGGTCAATGGCGAGTCCAGACCAGGCTTTGAATTATAACTTGGTTCAGGTTATGGGCCATATTTAAGTATATAATGAAATCAAAATATAATTTGATAATATATGGCTATACAGTGGCACTTTGGTTTAGGAATTCGGTCCATTTCAAGAGACGGTTCGTACAACAAAAATTTGTAAACCGAAACAAATTTTCACATAAGAAATAATGTAAATTTAATTAATCCATTCTACACACCCAAAAATATTAACTTAAAAATACATTTTATACAGAATACTACTCATATTTTTTACTACACTTCACCTTTATTGAGGACTTGTTGGCGTATGGAAAACAGTGAGGGGGGGTGGGGTGGGAGGTGGTGGTGTTAGTGTTTGGAAGGGAAGTTCCCCCCCCCCCTTCCATTATAACATCAGGCAGTGATGACATTTTGGGGGTACTTTCTCTCCCTCTCTCTCTCTCTCTCTCCTACGTTTTGCAGACATACCATTAGGACCTGGTTGTGGCTCACTGCTTGCTTGTCTTACTAAGAATCTTTCTAAAGACACTTTTTTTCCCTACATTTTGAACACTTGTCTGAAGTGAGATATCATATTGTCATTAAAAAGGTTAATGCAATGACCTGCTACAGCTTTATCTGGGCGAGTCTTTTCAGCAAAACTTTTGCAGTTCTTCCCATACTGCACACATTTTCTTAATTAATGAGTGATATATAATAAGAACTTTTATGTTTAGAAACCCCCCAAAACAGAACAACAATGAAATTCTTCACAAAGAATTAAAGCACGGTTGTCACTAGGCAGGATTCACTGGTGAACTGAGCATGTCTTGCCCTGTGGCTAGCAGAACCCACGCGCTTGACCCATACAAGTGCTGTATCAGCAAACACTCATATTCCAAGACAAAGTTCGTACACCAAGTCCAATTTTACAAGGCAATTGACTTCGCATACCAAAAGTTTCATAATCTGGGGCATTCGTAAACCGAGGTTCCACTGTATTACTTGAGAAAGGCAATGCTCGGAATACGGTATTCATTGCAGCATTTATTATTTAATGCTGTTCTGTACACAGTATAAAAAAATTGGCAGAATTTATGTATTAAAAATTTATTGAAGAAATGACATCCAAAATTTGAATTTAAAATTATACAAAAACTTACCTAATACTGTATTATAAATTATATTTCTTTTAATTTAAATTAAAATGATTAAATAATCATTTTGAAATTAATTATTCTCAATTGTAGATATTTGGTAAGATTTCTGTAGTATGTAAGAAATTGAGGTAATAGTTTAATACTCTCTGCTACTGATGTTTAGTGTTTCACTGAGGATGATCGTCTATCATTGTTGACGACCCTTAAAGTTGAGGCAGAGAACCTGACTTTGGCTAGAGTCTTAGCATCTGTTTATGTAGTAAGAATTGCAATTATATTACTGTAATTATTTTGGTGTGTAAATACAAAATAAACTTTTTAAGTATATATTTATTTAAATTCCTCATAAGTTAAACAGTATGGCAGTAAACTGATATGTTTAAAGTTTATTGAATGACTTGAAAAATCTCTTGAAACTTCAGTAACTTGCTTTATTATTTGTGTGTTGTGTAATAGGTATTTTTCTGGGGGGAGCGCCTACGGCTCCCCAGAGTTGATGTTCTAATGTCAGACTTTGGCATCAGTCGTGTGTATGGGGTTCTTTGGGCCTACCAGGGACCACGACCAGAACCTGGCCGCTCTCAGAGAGGCAAGGGGACCAATGGCCTATAGAAACCCCCATGTGGTTGGAAGCATTCTATGTCTGCCATCGACCGAGTCAGGCACCCAGAAAGGTAAGCATCCCAAAGCAAACCCCTATTCTGGTGAAAATATTGCTACTAAAAGCCAAACAAGTGAATAAACCCCCCAAACAAAAATGAGCAAACTAGTGTGACATCACCCATTGCCGAGCCGCCGCCTGTGCAGGCCCCCCTTTCCTGGGAGGGGGAAGGGGAAAGCCCCAGACCTACTGCGCTGGCGATCCACACCCCAGTTCTTGAGGCTGATGCTATAGGCAGCGGTTGTGTGCTCTGGCTCCAGACTTTTACACGCTGTGCCTTGTGTGAGGCAGCTGTTCTCCAGGGGTGCGAGAGCCAGGAGTTACATTTCAGTACTCGGGCTGCATGCGCCTAGGGTTCCTTTCCCTAAGTGCCCTGTAAGTACTGCCCTTGGAGCTTGGGGGTTACCTTCCACAGGTTCCTTGGGATCTGCCTCTGTGGGTCCTGGTTGGTTAGTTGATACCTGGTTGATGGGGTTCTGGGAGTTCTACTCCCCAAGCCCGGCCCGAGGCCAGGCTTGACTTGTGAGAGTTTGGTCCACTAGGTTGATGCTTGGAGCGGCCCGCAGGCCCACATACCCACCACAGCCCGGTTGGTCCGGCACTCCTTGGAGGAATAAATCTAGTTAACTCTTGAAGATGTCCATGGTTGTTCCGGCAATATTTCTTATACTCGCTGGGAGGGTGTTGAACAACCGCGGACCTCTGATGTTTATACAGTGTTCTCTGATTGTGCCTATGGCACCCCTGCTCTTCACTGGTTCTATTCTGCATTCTCTTCCATATTGTTCACTCCAGTACGTAGTTATTTTACTGTGTAGATTTGATACTTGGCCCTCCAGTACCTTCCAGGTGTATACTATTTGATATCTCTCTCGTCTTCTTTCTAGTGAGTACATTTGGAGGGCTTTGAGACGACCCCAATAATTTAGGTGCTTTATCGCGTCTATGCATGCCGTATATGTTCTCTGTATTCCCTCTATTTCAGCAATCTCTCCTGCTCTGAAGGGGGAAGCGAGTACTGAGCAGTACTCAAGATGGGACAACACAAGTGAATTGAAGAGTACAACCATTGTGATGGGATCCCTGGATTTGAAAGTTCTCGTAATCCATCCTATCATTTTTCTGGCTGTTGCAATATTTGCTTGGTTATGCTCCCTAAACGTTAGGTCGTCAGACATCATTATTCCCAAATCCTTTACATGCTGTTTTCCTACTATGGGCACATTTGATTGTGTTTTGTACCTTGTATTATGTTTAAGGTCCTCATTTTTACCATACCTGAGTACCTGGAATTTATCACTGTTAAACATCATGTTATTTTCTGATGCCCAGTCGAAAACTTTATTAATATCAGCTTGAAGTTTTTCAATGTCTTCAGCCGAGGTAATTTTCATACCGATTTTTGTGTTGTCTGCAAAGGATGATACGAAGCTGTGACTTGTATTTTTGTCTATATCTGATATGAGAATAAGGAAAAGCAGCGGTGCAAGGACTGTACCTTGAGGTACAGAGCTTTTAACTGCGCTCGGACTAGATTTTATATGGTTGAATATTACTCGCTGAGTCCTGTTTGACAGAAAACCGAGTGTCCAGCGTCCTACTTTACCAGTTATTCCAATTGACTTCATTTTGTGTACTATCACGCCATGGTCACATTTATCGAAAGCCTTTGCGAAGTCCGTGTATTCAGCATTCTGTTTTTCTTCTAATGCCTCAGTGACTTTGTCATAGTGCTCAAGTATCTGTGAGAGGCATGATCTTCCTGCTCGAAATCCATGTTGGCCTGTGTTACGGACCCGAGCCCAGCGTCGTAGCACGGAGCAGTGATGTCCACACCATCTGTGAGTCAGCTCCCGAACCCCCCTTCAAATGAACGACGCCATCTAGTGAGGACGAGATATACCGGCCACAGGGGCTGGTTTCCCGTCTTAATCAGCTCGTGACATAGCCGCTGCTGACCTCTGGTGATGTGGCGCTTAGACAGCAACGCCATCTATGGAGTGGATAGGTGGACGTTTGTGTCTAAGCCGGTAAGTGAGGTGCCCTAGAGTGTAACTAGTACTGATGACGTGTCTGATTACAGAGTCGACCTGGCACTGCTGTATTGGACGTTGGATCAGTCTAACCAAGGCAGCCATAGTCTCTCCACGTGTTTGCTGCAGAAGCTGTGAGTTGCTCCCAGACGAACACTGCTGAGAGTGTTAGCCTGCCTGTGACGTGGCAGTACCAGGAATCGTCGTACCCGGGGGTTGACTGGTGGAAGAGACTAGCCACTGTGGTGCTATAGAGAAGAGAGTGATCAGCGGAATCACACGAGGCTCCTGCCTAGGGCTTGCAACCCTAGTATCGGTCGTGGAGTGGCTTACGCAGCGGAGCTGATTGGAACCTGCCAGCTACAGGCTGGATTTGTGGTTGAAGGCCTCCACGATGGTGCACCCAGTGGGACTGTGATTTGGCTGGCCTGTGGCCAGGGTAGATTCGCCTAGAGAATCTAAGGATTCATCGTGAGGCCACGAGAAGAGAACCAGGGCTACTCATCTTGAGCACTGTGGAACATTCCGCGTCTGCAGAGGAAGACGATTCTGCACATTGAATATTTATACCCCCCGTGTGACATTATATATATTTATTTATTGGTGGTGGTAATTATATATTTAAATTAGTGCATTTTTATCCCTTCCCCTTTAATTTACTTGCGTTGCGGAACACACCCCTTGAAAGCCACTACAGTACTAACTTGGGGCCGGATACCCAAACTCTAATAACATCAGAGAAGAACCCCAGTTGAGATCCAATAGGGCCGTAACATAATTGGCATCCCCAGCGGGACCCCTTGTCAAGTATGTTTGGCAGGGGTGGTGAAGTGGCGCAATCCCTGTAAATAATTCCTCGTGTGTGACTATTAGGACGTTATACGTCCTGTGCGGTGCTCAGAGTGATTCAGTGCAATATTGTAGAGTGCGGTGCTCGCTGTGATTAAGTGCAATATTGTGTAGTGCGGTGCCCGGTGTAATTACGTGCAACAGTTGCAAGTGAAGTGCTCGGTGCGTTAAGTGCTAAAGTGAAGCGGTGTGTTAAGTGCTAGTGTTCCATCTAGGTGACAATGGCAGAAAAAGCGACCATCGACGATCTGGACGACGTTCAGGCCTTTCTGAACAAGGAGGACTGTCTTGCCAGATTGAAATATCTGGGGAAACAGGAACTTGTATTAGTGAGTGCCTATCTGGAGATCAAGATACGTGCCAGTGATTCCCGTGTGGAGATCTTGTCCAAGGTTCACCGGCATTTGAAGGCCGAGGAGAAACAGGAGAGTGAGGCACAAAGCACAAAAGAAAGTGAAGAAGTAGCTTCCA